GGTAAAGGTCAGTTAACACCCTGGTCCAGAAAATCATTGGTACAGGTCAGTTAACACCCTGGTCAGTTAACACCATGGTCCAGCAATCATTAGTACAGGCCCCACTTGTATAAAACATCTCAACTTGAGATTTCCTCAAGTCGAGATTTTCCTCAGCTAATATCTCCTTGAAAATTTCTTGTATGAAAATTCCTCAAGGAATTTCAGGACATCCTAGCTGATGCCTTCCTCCTGTTCCCTGAGAAAATTTTATACAAGCCGTTTTTGAGGAGATATCAGCTGAGGAAAATCTCTACTTGAGGAAATCTCAAGTTGAGATGTTTTATACAAGTGGGGCCAGGTCAGTTAACACCATGGTCCAGCAATCATTAGTCTAGCCTGACTTATACCTGGTTAAAGTCACCAGCATGTTTATACTGTTCAGGCCATCCTGACCTATACCTGGTTAAAGTTACATGTATGTTTGTACTGTTCAGTCTAGCCTGACTTATACCTGGTTATAGTTACCAGTAAGTTATACTGTTCAGGATCCAACCTGACCTATACCTGCTTAAAGTTACCTGTATGTTTATACTGTTCAGAATCCAACCTGACCTATAACTGGTTAAAGTTACCTGTATGTTTATACTGTTCAGAATCCAACCTGACCTATAACTGGTTAAAGTTACTAGTATGTTTATACTGTTCAGAATCCAACCTGACTTAAACCTGGTTATAGTTACCAGCAAGTTATACTGTTCAGGATCCAACCTGACCTATACCTGCTTAAAGTTACCTGTATGTTTATACTGTTCAGAATCCAACATGACCTATAACTGCTTAAAGTTACCTGTATGTTTATACTGTTCAGAATCCAACATGACCTATAACTGGTTAAAGTTACTAGTATGTTTATACTGTTCAGAATCCAACCTGACTTAAACCTGGTTATAGTTACCAGCAAGTTATACTGTTCAGGATCCAACCTGACCTATATCTGGTTATAGTTACCAGTAAGTTATACTGTTCAGGATCCAACCTAACCTATACCTGGTTATAGTTACCAGTAAGTTATACTGTTCAGGATCCAACCTGACCTATACCTGGTTATAGTTACCAGTAAGTTATACTGTTCAGGATCCAACCTGGCCTACTCTTAACAGCCGGATTATCATTTTTTTTTGTTTTACATTTCACCATCAATATCAGTGAACAACCACACTTGTTTTAAAAATCTGATATCCTGCCTGGTTCTGAAGAAAACTTAAAGCAATGTAGGTGGAAAAGATATTATTTTCCCATTAAAAGTGATGAGTGAATAAGTATTAACTGTATGACAAGAGACTTGACTTTATCATTAAATAGCACCATGGTTACTATACATTTTTCACTCCTATAAAAAAATATGGTGAATGTTGTAGAGACCCAAAGCATTTAAATCTTTGGTATGGAAAAATAAAGGGCCATAACTTCACATAAAATGGGGTAGAAGACTCTTTTCTGCATATGTATTATCTGCCAATCCATTTCCCAGTGATACACAATACCATACGCCTAGACTGGTGAATTTATCAGTTGAAATATGACGGATAAAAAAACATGGTTCAGACAAAGAATTTGCTTATGTCAAGCTAGCCAACGTTGTATCAGTGGGATCCACAATGGGCCTATCAAGAGGAATTATGATTATGCGTAATGCAGGTTGGTTGCCATTTCAGTTGTTGATTTTACATAGCCAAGGCTCCTACAGATTGATCTGGCTCTGACATGGTTTCACACCTCTTAAATCTTCTGCTGTTTAGTTAAAATGACATGAAGCTTTGAAGTTAATTCTATATCTATACTTGTTTACCAGAATAGTAGCTGCATCTTTCCACAGCTGGCATGTTGTTCCAGTCTACAAATGCTGTAACTTACCTAAATAAATATCACAAACTATTGACAACCTGAATACCAATACAAGAATCTTCTCTTTTAACAATCAACTTAAGGTTGAAGGCAAGAATCGCCAAGTTTTTTGTGCACATTCCATGCAGAAAATACCAATCTCATCTGCAACTTTTAATTCACAAGATTTCAACATCTGTTATTTCAAAAAGGCATTCAATGGTAATGACAATGTGAAGTTTTCATTCCGCACCTATATTCCATCAGAAATTCATCTATAGCCACAGATGACACAGTAAGATCTGTCTTATATTCATCTGAACAATCATAAAGTAACCATGGACATTTCATATTAAGTCACAGATATAATTCATATTTATCTAGCAAAGAAAAAACTGACAGACTAGTCTTGTCATTATACAAAAAAAAAAAACAATGAATGGTTTAGTTCATTTTCACACCAGATAATAAGAATAATTGTGATTTCTATTGAACCAAATTGAATTTTGAAAATACAAACAATGGGTTTAGCAAGCATTATTTTGGAATGAAGTACAATCTAATTATGACCATGTAGTATAGCATTACCTTTCCATTTAAAATCTTGATGGCTATAGGCTTACCAGACAGCTAATGAGTTTGTTGGTGCTCACATGGGTCAGTGTACTGCAACCAGGATGTTTTGTTTCTCTTTCTGATCAATGTTTCATTGTGATCTCTTCTCAATATAGCCGTAAACTCAATTAACACCGATTGCTTTCAGCGTCACTGCCAGCTCCATTCAGACATTATCTCAAGAACACCACACTCCCGATTTGATTATATATTCCACCTGCTATATCATAGTCAATCCCAAATCCCTGTTTGAAGGCACACCCAAAAGTGTGGATGGGGTATCAAATAAGAGGCAAAAGGTTCAGCAGAATACTATGTAACCGGGAAATGAAAAGCAGAATACTATGTAACCGGGAAATGAAAAGCAAAATACTATGAAGATGACTGTCAGTGGTAACTGGTAGGATACAGGTACATTTGCCTTGCTTTTTTAAAAAATTTTTTAAAATACAGCTTTAATTCAGATATGGAAGGGGTCAGTTTGATGTTGTAAGAACAACTTTACACCCCCCCCCCCCCCCCCCCCACTCCTCCGCCGCAAAGATTACGTTATTTTTACAACAATTTACATTTGATACAAGCTATCAGCTGAAATTATGTTATCACTCTTGTTGACCAGGGTGAATAGTGCTAAGTGTGAAGAAGCTAGAGTACCCAGATAAACCGACATAATTGGGAAGAGAAGCAAACATTAAGAGGTCAAGATGACAGGTGAATGCATAAACCACAGCATCAGCTACCCAAATTAAGATGAATTATGACAATCAAAAATTTGGGAAATTCACTGAAGTGAAAAATCTTGATCTTTAAAGTGTTGCAAAATTTGTTAACACTTTTCTACTGCAAAAGCTTCTTTCAGGTACAGAGAATTTAATCTTTGAAATGATACCAAGATACATCAAAATAGTTTATTTATTCCACAAGCTGTCTGGAAACTAATCAAAGGCAATGCAACATTGCTTTAATGATATATTTGTATCTATTGTTATTCAAATCCTATGTACAAAATGCAGCATTTCAAATACAGTTTCACAATAACTCATGTTGCTTGTTCCAAAGAGGTATCCACTTATCTACCATTTATTACACACCATAAACAGAAACTTAAACATGGTGGAAAACTTTCTCACCAATCTTTCTTTATTGCCTGTGCTGTGAAATTTTGCTTCGGTAGACAGATTACTTAACAGTATGACTGTCTTGACCATAAGAACATGGGTGCGAGACACCATGTAGTAGAGAATATCAGTGCTATTGGCTGGCTGATAAGTAGCCTTACAGAGGCACCACAATAGCCTGGTCCAAAGGGAAAGTCATTACAATACACAAAAAATCATACTCTGTGTAAACCAAACCATTACAACATGGAGAAGAATTGCTTGTCCTTGTTTTCACATATCACCGTTCATATCCTATCAGGAGAAAATGTATGGTTACAGTTCTTAAAGGTAACAAAGATTTCATATCAAAAAAGATGATAAGAACTTCCTGTAAATCTCACTTTTGACAATACATGAGTCATTAATAGGTAAACATGCTGATCTATTGTAGATAACATAAAAACAAACTTCTGACTTGATTTGTCAAAGGTTTTACAGGTCCCTTTTTTAGCTAATGAGGTAGAGCAAACAACAGTGTTAAGTGTGTTAATCAGTGGAGTGATGTGCGTTGGGTGTAGATACCAAAAGGTATGTAGGGTGAGGAAATAGAATTCAAAAATTAATCCAAGTAGTTTCCATCACAAGATACCCAACATCACCAGTAAGCTATTGATTGGCTGATAAATAACCTACTTCCTAGTGACGTTTCGCTTGATACAAACATCTTCGATTCAGTTTCATTTTTTTATTTTTTATTTAAAATTGTCAATTGATATTAGCTTTCATGAACGATGAAAAGTTCATGGAAAAACTGACTTTTTGTATAACTTAATTCTATACCCATGATAGCCAATTGTTTACTTGTTATTACTCATGTTGATCTTAAACAATTGGCCGTAAATGGGCCTTTGACATTAAATCCAATGTGCATACAAAATATGTGTAAACAGCTGGGACAAAATACATAAAAGTTTCTATCTAGCATATTTTGATCCCTTCAATTTAGACCTGGAGAGTTTTAGTCTGGCAGTTCTTGAGTAGCTCACAATCCACCAAATTTTCCTATTGATCATCTAAGGTTATCAGAAACCAAAATCTCAAATTTTTGTGCAGATTATCTTTTACACTGCCATTTTCAACCTGTCCTAACCATAACATATTATAATCAAGAGATGTTTTTCATTTCACAAAACTAGTCTTTACAGAAGAAAACCGACAACAGATTATATAACTGGCCCATCAGCTATAGCTCCTAGGCCTACGGGTGATTTAAAAGTAAATTCATCACTTCACGCAATGTTGATAAATACATATGGTGATTTAATAGAAAATTCCATCACTTTATACAATGTTGTTCAATACATTTGAGAGGACACCCATTGGATTAAATAGGACTGACTTGAAGATTTGTTTACATACCTTGATCAGAAAGCTTCAATCTAATACACAAATAGGAAAATGGTCTGAATCCTTCTGGTGTAGCAGAAATAATCACTGATATGTCATCCACACACAAATGTACAATTCCTCATCTAATAAGGACTAATTTCAAAGAGATGCATGTATGTAATGGCTGGCTGGGTACAGGTTAAACTTCCAACTCTCCTGTAGTAAACCTGTAACAACAGCAGAAAAAACACAATATTACAACTGCTTACCAAAACATTCCAGAGTTTTGAGCATGTGGAATGGATACTAGAGAATAATAGTGACAACAGCAGAAAAAACACAATATTACAACTGCTTACCAAAACATTCCAGAGTTTTGAGCATGTGGAATGGATACTAGAGAATAATAGTGACATGCAAACACAAATTTTATACACAGCTGGCGACCACTTCCTGGAGTTTTACAACTTCTTCTGTGATGATGGCTTTGATGATCTAAAACAAAATTATAAAACATTGTCAAGTGGAGATATAAGTACTGTACGTAAGTCGAATTTGCCGTATTGTTATCGAACACAAAAAAACACATCTAGATCTACTTGTCTGTACCTGTCTGTATCAGTGTAAAAATAATCCACCTTGTTAAATCCAATACCCACAGAATTACCTGTTATGTATTGTGTAGTCTCAATACATAAATACCAGCACATGTAATTTCAACCAAGTGTACATGAATACAGTGTATTGATATTTGAAGGTGGTAGCCAATCCATATACCCACTCTGACAATGTTGCTCTCACTAGTACTACACAAAACACCAGCAAATAATCAATAGCAGCCAATCTTGAATGACTTTATGATGATCACAGTGATAAGCTAAGGATGCCACCAACATCTAGATCTGGTATGTTACATACACCTACCAAGCCAATACACCATGGTCTGGAACACACAACACACCAAATCTAGAGCTACTCATATATAGCCAATATGTTATTGATTTTTTATTACTCCATATATATACACACATAGGCAAAACCACATAGAGGTTGTCTTTGTACAGGAAAAAAACAGGAAATAAAGCTATAAAAACATCAATCTAACAACACATTTCCTGTTTACATTGTATACTGTATGGCATATCATATTATAACTACAGGAGTCCAGTGTTACAGTAGTAACTGTTATAACATTGTGATTGGAACAATGGCCTCATTGTTTGTATATATCAGGGAATACATCCTACCTAGGCCCACATTCAGTTATTTATTTTATTTGTGAATTCAACTGATACTAATGATTATATTATTAAAGTATACTAGATACCTCCATTAAATTTTAAAAACCTGCAGTACAATATCATTCTTTATACAACCCTGGAGGCTACCCTGCTGTTGACGTAATGAAATTCAATACACAACTGCACCTAAAAGTAGGAAGTTAATATCCCTTTCCATTATTTATGTCTATTTAACATTGTATGTGGATTTTAAACATCCATATTTCAATACCTAAAATGACAATCTTAGAATTAAACAACATATATTCAAGTACAAGTATGACTGAAATAAGGAAACATGCACAGCCTTCCTGTTACTCTGGCCCAAGTAGTCGTTTCAGAAAAATTGGCCAACATTCCAAGGAGAAGGATAAACTAACTCATGAACAACATGCCGAAGAAAATCAGGGCTGTGGAGAAAGTGAATGTGGGACATACCTGGTATTGACTTGCCAGCTCCCACAATCAGTTCATTCAATTTCAGTTTACAGCGGTCTCTTTCAATTACCTTCAATTACTCCTAAATCACTTAGCAGATACAAATCTTCGATTTTGCAGTTTGTTCTGTATAAGTAATCTTTATTCTTACTGAAAAAATATTGAAAATTATACTAACCATCTTACCTAAGATCATCTTCAAAGTTTACAGTGTGGTCCTGTCAATGACAGGGAATCACTATACAGGTGTTGTCAGTGACAGGGAGTCACTATACAGGTGTTGTCAGTGACAGGAAATTACTATACAGGTGTTGTCAGTGACAGGGAGTCATTATACAGGTGTTGTAAGTGACAGGAAATTACTATACAGGTGTTGTCAGTGACAGGGAGTCACTATACAGGTGTTGTCAGTGACAGGAAATTACTATACAGGTGTTGTCAGTGACAGGGAGTCACCCATACAGTGTTGTCAGTGACCGGGAATCACTAAACAGGTGTTGTCAGTGACAGGGGAGTCACTATACAGGTGTTGTCAGTGACAGGGAATCACTATACAGGTGTTGTCAGTGACAGGGAGTTATCCATACAGGTGTTGTCACTGACAGGGAGTCACTATACAGGTGTTGTCAGCGACAGGGAATCACTATACAGGTGTTGTCAGTGACAGGGAGTCACTATACAGGTGTTGTCAGTGACAGGGAATCACTATACAGGTGTTGTCAGTGACAGGGAGTTATCCATACAGGTGTTGTCACTGACGGGGAGTCACTATACAGGTGTTGTCAGTGACTGGGAATCACCCATACAGGTGTTGTCAGTGACAGGGAGTAACTATACAGGTGTTGTCAGTGACAGGGAATCACTATACAGGTGTTGTCACTGACGAGGAGTCACTATACAGGTGTTGTCAGTGACAGGGAATCACTATACAGGTGTTGTCAGTGACAGGGAGTTATCCATACAGGTGTTGTCACTGACGGGGAGTCACTATACAGGTGTTGTCAGTGACAGGGAATCACAATACAGGTGTTGTCAGTGACAGGGAGTCACCCATACAGGTGTTGTCAGTGACAGGGAGTCATCCATACAGGTGTTGTCAGTGACATGGAGTCACCCATACAGGTGTTGACACTGACAGGGAGTCATCCATACAGGTGTTATCAGTGACAGGGAGTCACCCATACAGGTGTTGTCAGTGACAGGAAATTACTATACAGGTGTTGTCAGTGACAGGGAGTCACCCATACAGTGTTGTCAGTGACCGGGAATCACTAAACAGGTGTTGTCAGTGACAGGGGAGTCACTATACAGGTGTTGTCAGTGACAGGGAATCACTATACAGGTGTTGTCAGTGACAGGGAGTTATCCATACAGGTGTTGTCACTGACAGGGAGTCACTATACAGGTGTTGTCAGCGACAGGGAATCACTATACAGGTGTTGTCAGTGACAGGTAGTCACTATACAGGTATTGTCAGTGACAGGGAATCACTATACAGGTGTTGTCAGTGACAGGGAGTTATCCATACAGGTGTTGTCACTGACGGGGAGTCACTATACAGGTGTTGTCAGTGACTGGGAATCACCCATACAGGTGTTGTCAGTGACAGGGAGTAACTATACAGGTGTTGTCAGTGACAGGGAATCACTATACAGGTGTTGTCACTGACGAGGAGTCAGTATACAGGTGTTGTCAGTGACAGGGAATCACTATACAGGTGTTGTCAGTGACAGGGAATCACAATACAGGTGTTGTCAGTGACAGGGAGTCACCCATACAGGTGTTGTCAGTGACAGGGAGTCATCCATACAGGTGTTGTCAGTGACATGGAGTCACCCATACAGGTGTTGACACTGACAGGGAGTCATCCATACAGGTGTTATCAGTGACAGGGAGTCACCCATACAGGTGCTGTCAGTGACAGGGAGTCACCCATACAGGTGTTATCAGTGACAGGGAGTCATCCATACAGGTGTTGTCAGTGACAGGGAGTCACCCATACAGGTGTTGTCAGTGACAGGGAGTCACCCATACAGGTGTTGTCAGTGACAGGGAGTCATCCATACAGGTGTTGTCAGTGACAGGGAGTCATCCATACAGGTGTTGTCAGTGACAGGGAATCACTATACAGGTGTTGGCAGTGACAGGGAGTCACTATACAGGTGTTGTCAGTGACAGGGAATCACTATACAGGTGTTGTCAGTGACAGGGAGTTATCCATACAGGTGTTGTCACTGACGGGGAGTCACTATACAGGTGTTGTCAGTGACTGGGAATCACCCATACAGGTGTTGTCAGTGACAGGGAGTAACTATACAGGTGTTGTCAGTGACAGGGAATCACTATACAGGTGTTGTCAGTGACAGGGAGTCACTATACAGGTGTTGTCAGTGACAGGGAATCACTATACAGGTGTTGTCAGTGACAGGGAGTTATCCATACAGGTGTTGTCACTGACGGGGAGTCACTATACAGGTGTTGTCAGTGACTGGGAATCACCCATACAGGTGTTGTCAGTGACAGGGAGTAACTATACAGGTGTTGTCAGTGACAGGGAATCACTATACAGGTGTTGTCACTGACGGGGAGTCACTATACAGGTGTTGTCAGTGACAGGGAATCACAATACAGGTGTTGTCAGTGACAGGGAGTCACCCATACAGGTGTTGTCAGTGACAGGGAGTAACTATACAGGTGTTGTCAGTGACAGGGAATCACTATACAGGTGTTGTCACTGACGGGGAGTCACTATACAGGTGTTGTCAGTGACAGGGAGTCACCCATACAGGTGTTATCAGTGACAGGGAGTCACCCATACAGGTGTTGTCAGTGACAGGGAGTCACCCATACAGGTGTTGTCAGTGACAGGGAGTCACCCATACAGGTGTTGTCAGTGACAGGGAGTCACCCATACAGGTGTTGTCAGTGACAGGGAGTCATCCATACAGGTGTTGTCAGTGACAGGGAATCACTATACAGGTGTTGTCACTGACAGGAAGTCACCCATACAGGTGTTGTCAGTGACAGGGAGTCACTCATACAGGTGTTGTCAGTGACAGGGAGTCACCCATACAGGTGTTGTCAGCGACAGGGAATCACTATACAGGTGTTGTCAGTGACAGGGAATCACCCATACAGGTGTTGTCAGTGACAGGGAGTCATCCATACAGGTGTTGTCACTGACGGGGAGTCATCCATACAGGTGTTGTCAGTGACTGGGAATCACCCATACAGGTATTGTCAGTGACAGGGAGTCACCCATACAGGTGTTGTCAGTGACAGGGAGTCACCCATACAAGTGTTGTCAGTGACAGGGAGTCACCCAGTCAGTGACAGGGAGTCACCCATACAAGTGTTGTCAGTGACAGGGAGTCACCCATACAGGTGTTGTCAGTGACAGGGAATCACTATACAAGTGTTGTCAGTGACAGGGAGTCATCCATACAGGTGTTGTCAGTACCTTGAGTACTGCTGATAATAATGACAGAGATCCCAGAGGGATCTTGGCG